CAGGCATTGCAAAATCCTCGTAGAGCCTTCGGGCCGCACACGAGAGGAAGACCAGCACATACAACACCTGAGGAGCCTTACCCTTAATCTTGGGGGTAACTGGCTCACACAGCGCACTAATTTCCTTCCCAATGAGCTTGCGCAAGAAGGAGCGGGCCCTGGACAAGCCACTGAGGTTGCAGAGCAGACTCAGCTCATCGGCTGCGCAATCCTGAAGATTGGATATGTCCCGGAACTGCTTACCATTAGCTTGTCGCTTCCGGCCACGCCTGGCGAGGCTGAAACTGCAACTCAGGCAGCAAGGGACCCACGAATGCGAGATGCATTCCCGGTGCTGGTCCCGGTTCTTCCCCAACCTGACCTTGGGGCGGCTTGTTACCTTGCCTTTCCACCGTGGCAACAGGAGCATTCCGGAGCATGTATTGATACTGTCCACCTGGATGGCCGCTTATTCGCGGCACCACTGCCCGCCTACGTCAATCGAACCTTGCTGCTTGAAATAGCCGGGGTAGGGTGTTTTCCCGGTCTGAGTGTTTGGATTGGCGTCGACCCTCTCCTTCTGGATCACGAGGAGCTCGTGCACACCTATCCAGGTATGTTGGTGTCCTTCAGACCGGGACATATTGACCCTGGGGTGTCATACACGTTAGGTCAACTCCTCTTGTTTTTGGATGGCTGGGACGAGGCTCCAGAGTGGCCGGAGTCACGCTTCGGCCCAGCACACATCTTAGTGCGCGATGAACAGACCTTCCTGATGTCTGCCAATTTCCCAGAGCCCATGAGGTATCGAGAGCCATTGGCGAAACCGCCGGAATTGACCACGGCCGGATGCGACTCTTTGCGGCCAGTCCTAGGCAACCGGACGCGGCCAGCAATGGAGTGCACTGCCGTGCCGTCATAGCGATAGGGGTCCCTTCGACTGCGGAACCCCAGGGATATTGGCATTGCATTCTTGTTGATCGGCGGCAACAGCAAGAAGGTTGGCTTGCAGTTGCTATCTGTGATGGGGTGCTCAATATTCATGCACTTGTGACTGTCCTTCAGGAAACAGCCCCCGCAGGCTGGTATACGCATGTTGACGTTGAGCCGGATATTGCCGGATGTGTAGACTTGCCTCCTGGCCATGTTGTAGTTGCTTCGTACGGCGGCCACCCGCAGGACTTCCGATCCAGTGCTGTGTCACCCTTACAGGAAGGCCGCGATCCTGGGATAGGAGGACAGACCCCCGACCCATCCGCCGCCACACGCAGACACGCCCGGTGAACACGCTGCGCTGGCCGAGGAGGAGGGGGAGGCAGTTGACATCACTTGCTACCTCTTCGCTGAAGAGTTTTCCCCCGTGGAGGTCAATGTTCCGACAAGACTTCCTGCTACGGTTGAGGCTTTTCTCGACCTCGTACAGATGCACCGAAGCTCGGCCGACTTCCCTTTCTTTCCGCAGCTTTGCGCGGTACATCCACAGCCAGATCCTACCTTCGTCTGCCTTTTGGCCATTCCGGCCTGGCCGACTGTTGGGGTGCCGGTTTTGATACATTGCCTTGGGGATGCCCCACGCACATTTGCCACTTTCCTCCCTCACGCAATAAGCCACGAAGGCGTCCTGAATGTGGCAGGATTGCATCATGCCTGGGGGCATCGTGTCTTCTTGCGAGACCTTCCCTGGCCTATCCCGGAACGCGGGGCTGTCCGCATCGAGCCTGGCGACTTGATCACCGTGAGAGGTGACCCACATCACGTGCCTGGCGGCCTGCTTGCTGACAATTTGCAATGGACTTACGGGTGGTTCCAGCCGGACGGGCCTCCAGGCCACTGGCCCGGTGGAACATGGATGCTCTCAGACGAACGAGATTTGCACGTCTTCGCCACACTACCGTCGGGTAGACTGTCATCTCAAGTTGTCGCCGAGGCCCTTCAGCTTGATCCAGCAGAGATTGTGCTTTACCCTTCAAACACGCTCATTGCTGATCATGCCAGAAAAGGCCGCACCTCTGAAGGGGTTGCGCTTGCCGTTGTGCCTACAGACCACCCCAGACCGGAGGACGTTTTATACTTCCTTGATCTCCGCCCGATTTTGCTGCCCATGCGTATCATGAGAGCAACAGCTGGGAGGATAGATGTCGCGTGGCTCCATGATGCCCTCGTCAGGCACTGCCCATCCGATTTTTGTTTACACATCGTTGGGGGTTATAGCTCCCCTGATGCCGCGAACCACTATCGGATTGTTGATTGTGGGGATGTAATCACGGTTGAATTCCGGGCACGCTACATCTCGGAAGTAGTATTAGGCTCCGGAGCACAAACCTTGAACTCGCAATCCCTGCCGGAGTCGGCCGCCAGCAGCGATACTCCCAACACCACTGAGACCTCCAGCTCGGCCACGAGAGATGCCGGCACCGGGGGATCTTACCGCAACCAGCCCCGCAGTCAACATGGAGAGCATCGGTCCGCGCACTTTCACATGCAAGCCGGCCGGGCGCGTGGAAACCACCAGTGTGTTGCAGTTGGCATAGGGAGAAATAGGGTCCTTGAGGTGGTTTTCCAGTGTATATGCCACACTTCTGCAGTCGCACTTTTTCAGGTACTCGGTGCATACGCTGGAAGAGTTGCTTATAAGGTCTGCAAATACGGGGTTTACATTGCCGGCTGTGTGCTGGTTCGTGTGGTCCTACTGCTCAGCGCAGCTGTCTCCCGCCACCACCGTCAGGCGGTATGGATTCTTCTTTGGCTGTCCACATGCCCGACGTTTGTTCTAGGTGTTCAGGTGCGTGGCCCCATCGGTAGTTCGGGCCGATGTTCGATCAGCCATGAGTGCCAGGACGCCCGGAGGCACGTTCAAGACATACCTCGCCCGTTGTTTGCTGCCTCGACAATTTCCCGTACGAAGACACGGATAGTTGCTGAGTGTTTGAGGGAACGGCCTGCTACCCACCTTGACACCGAGGACCTTGCTATTCTGTCCAACGACCTGGAAACCCTTCTTGAGCAGTCAGTTAGGCAGGAACAATCGAGAGCAATGTTCCTAGCTGCCACGCTTGTTGACACGTTGGTTCAGCATTTTGCGGAAGAGCACTTGCGTCCAAAATGCCCTGACCCAACATTGGAGGCCCGTCGCAAGACCCCAATCTCGCTTGCCCAACACTTGCCTACTGCGCGCTGCTTTGATCTCACCAGTGTGCAAGTCAATGTGGGATGTACGATCGATCACGTTGTTGCCTTACTTCGTAATGGCCCTTACCGCCTGGCACCTCTGCCGGCTGCTGATACGGGTCCCTTAGGAACCTGGGTGACTCAGTGCCCCCCGGTTGCGGACGAATCTAGTGTGCTCAGCGCGCGGGCACTGATCATATATACCGATGGCTCCTTTGATGGGGAGAGCAGCTCTTGGGCCTTTCATGTCAGCGGAGATTGGGGTCAGGGCTTCCGTAGTGTAGGCTGGCTAGGGGATAAGGTTGAACTTGAACATGCAAGTCCTGTTCACATTGGGGCGACGGCCCATGGGGCCCTACAGGGAGAGCTATCCGCCCTTTTTTGGAGTGCCATTTGGCTGCTGCCCATTCTCCCGGAAACTCATGTAACGATATTTTCTGATTGCGTTGTCGCAATTGGGGCCACTGACGGCAGCATGGGCCAGTACAGAGGCACAGATGCTACTGCACGATGCCGACAGGCCATGCAGGCCGTGACCGCCAATAGACGTGGAGTAGGGCTTAGCATACAACATATACGCTCTCATGTGGGGCATGCTGGAAACGAGGCTGCCGACTATCTTGCTAAGGTGTGTTGCAAAGCTGCGCGCGCACCTCAAGTTGGGAGGAACCATCCCATATGCATGTTTTTGCGAAATGGGTGGATGACATGGCTATGGATTCATATTGCTGCCATGCATGATCCCGCGGCCTGGCCCACTCAGGTCGGAGGCTCACTGCTAGACCCCCCGCAGTCGAATCTCCAACTTCCCACGAAGGCGGAATGTTCGGCGATGCTTGGTTTGGGATACGCTTCCCAGCATCCCACTACCAGTGCGACAGGTGAAGCCAACCTTGATGCCGCCTTTCTGACTGTCAATGTCCAGTCTCTACATCCAGAGGCAGAGACCAATGTCCCGGCAGCGACTCAAGACGGCTTTACGGGCCGAGCCCGCCTCCTGAGAGACCAGCTTGCAGAGTGGAAGATAAGCGTTGCCGCGTTGCAGGAGACTAGAGCACCTAAGAATGAGACAGTGCAATCCCGTACACACATTAGATTCTGTAGCGCGCGCAACGACCAGGGGTCCTACGGAACGGAAATATGGTTTTCTAGAACTGTCCCCTTCATCGGCCACAAGGTCACCCCGATCTACTTCCAGCTCGGGGACTTCCTAGCAGTCCATTGGGACCCTCGCATTATCGCTGTGCGCTTCAGCCGTGAGTGCATACGTCTACTTTTTGTCTCATTTCACGCCCCGACTGCGTCTTCCCCACAGCGGAATCAGTGGTGGGCTGACTTTCGGCGTCTGCTGGATCGCTTGAGACAGGGTTCCCAGCTCATTTTGTTGGGAGACTTCAATCTTCACCTCAACCGTGACCATGGAGACAGAGTCGGAGATCTCCATTGGGATACTCCTACTCCGCCGCCTGCTGTCTTTTGGGATATTCTAGACTCCTTCGACCTGTGGGTCCCAAGCACTTTCAGTTGCTGCCACCCCGGCCCTTCGGAGACCTGGAGGGCACCCAACGGACAGAAGGGCTCCCGCCTTGACTATGTCATGTCGCGCTCCCTGCACATTGGCAGGTACCTGCCGGAGGCAGCCTCGTTGTGCCCGAACTTGATTGGGGACAAAGCCATGCTGACCATTTTGCCCTCCTGGTGTACACTAAAACTAGTGTCCGTTTCGGCCCCCTGAGCAAGCGACGACGGGTGCACCTGGATACGCAAGCTATGCGTACGCCGGAGGGAAAGGCTCGCATCCGCCAGATATGCGCGGCGTTGCCGGATCAGCCCTGGCAGTTGGATGTCCACAGGCATGCAGCGAAGATCGAAGAGCACTTTCGCTGTCATCTACCGGTTTCCTTCCCGGCACAAAGAGCTCGACAGCTGAAGCCACAGTTCCAATCTGAGACATGGCAACTTCGTAACCAAAGGGCATGGCAACGCAAGCGTGTGCATGCAGCGGACCACTTTGGTAAAAGCCTGACCCTCAGGGTCTACTGGGCCCGGTGGAGGCAGGATGCGCCCGGGAATGCTGCACAGCTCATAAAGGTTTGGGCCCGTTTCCTTAGATGTGTTCGGGAGCTGCCCGACTTAGTTGCGTCTCTGAGGGAGACCAGTGGTACACTTCGAGCATTCATCCGCCGAGACACTAAGGCGTACTTGCATGAGGTTGCAGTCCAGGCGACCAGGGACTCCACCAGCTGCATTGTACAGCGCCTGCGCCAGCTTACCGGCGGTCCAAAGCGAAAGCAGCGGGGAGCCATGCCACTTCCAGCCGTTGAGTTGAAGACCGGCCAACTTGCCGCGACGCACGCAGAGGCGAAAGAGAGGTGGATCGAGCACTTTGCTGCAATAGAGGACGGTGGGAAGGAGGACCCGACCGAATTCGTCCATGCGTGCTACAAGCGACAGGCTGCAAAGGACCTGTCTTGCCATGTTCTGGACGTACAGGATATTCCCTGCCGCACCGAGCTCGAAGCAGCGTTGAGGGCCGCCAGCACAGACAGAGCCTATGGACTTGACGACATACCCGGAGAAGTCCTCCGGTTCGGGGCGCCGGAGCTCTCTCGCGGCGTATACGCACTCCTCCTCAAATCGGTGTTTAGACTCACCGAGCCCGTGCAACACAAGGGTGGTACTTTGTACTGCATTTGGAAGGGCAAAGGCCCGAAACAGTCTTGCGGGTCTTATAGGGGGATTTTGGTGTCGTCGATGTTGGGTAAGTCTATCCATAAAACCCTCAGAGGCAGGTGTTCCGGACCACTTGCATCTGCCGCGGTGCCGCTTCAGGTTGGAGGCCTCCCGAGGTTCCCTGTCACAGTACCAGCGCAGGCTGCCAGGTTATTTCAGTCAGCATGCATTTCCTCCAAGCGACCCCATGCGATCCTCTTCCTGGACTTGCAAGAGGCTTTCTACCGCATTGTTCGCTCCTCATTACAGGTGGAACCCTCTCCGATGAACAGGTCGCACATGTGTGTGCGGCCGTACAGCTGCCTGAGGGTACCATGCACGACCTCCGCGCCTTCTTGGGGGGTGACCCATTGTTGGCCTCGGCTGGTTCCAGCGCATGGGCGTCCGGAGCTGTTAATGAGTCGCTCTATGACACATGGTTCCGTCTTCCGCAGGAGGATGACCTGATCGTCACCCATACCGGCTCCCGACCGGGGGATTCCCTGTCCGATCTTGTGTTTTCATTTTTGTTCTCCAGAGTGCTGCGCCGGGTTAGAGATGCTCTCACGCAGGCAGGGGCCCTCGCACGAGTTCCGTGGAACCCTGCGATGGAATACAACATCGAGCCTACGGTAGCAGTGAGGGGAACCTCCTTGGGTGTTTCTGACGCCACGTGGATGGACGATCTTGCCATGTTTTTCACTAGTCCGGATGCGTTTTCTCTCCTGCGAGATCTCAAGTTTGGGGCGTCCGCCCTGATTGACTCCTGCCTGCAGCGTGCCTTGGTACCGAACCTTTCTCGTGGCAAGACAGAGGCCATTGTGCATCTCAGTGGGGCAGGCGCACAGAAGGTTCGGACAAGCATTTTTGGCGATGATGGTGGACACGTCCCCCTCAGCTGCAGCTTATGGGCTGAGGCTAGACTCCGGGCTGTCCCTGTCTACAAGCACTTAGGCGGGTACCTGCAGCACAATGGAGGCCTGAAACAAGAAATCTCTTATCGGCTGTCACAGGCCTGGGATGCCTTCAACAAGAGGAAGAAAAGGCTCTTCCAGTCCCCACTTGTTTCGAGTGAGGACAAGTCGATTTTCTTTACGAGCCTCATTTCGACTGTCATGTTTCATGGTGCGGGAACGTGGACGCAGATTATGGAGAGGCATTGTGCGTCTCTCGATGCAGCATTAAGGCAAATGGCGTGTCAAATGTTGCACCCGCGTATCAGTGTGACTGATGCGTGGCACATGGGTGCTTCACAGGCACTAGCGCTGGCAGGGGTTCCGCATGCGGCCACGTACTTGCACGTTGCGAGACTCCGACACTTGCTTGCTTGTATGCAGCTGAAAGTGCCGGAAATCTGGGCACTGGCACATTGGGAGCAACACTGGCTTGAGGCTGTTCGCGGCTCTGTCCGCTGGCTGTGGAGTTTAGTAGATGCTGGGCGTTATCATACAGACGATAGAAGCGCGTGGGGGGTGTGGCAGACCGAATGCCAGGAGCATCCTGGCAAGTGGAAGGCGAAGCTCCGCCGTGCCCTTGCGAAGGCACTACAGAGAGAGCGTTGGGAAGCAACCCTGGAGCAACATGCCGGACTGATCACCAGACAGTTGAAGTTCGGAGGAGCCGTGATGCCACAGTGCTTTGGGGCTGCAGTTCCGCAGAAGGAGGTCTGTGCGTGCTGTGGGATTGTTTTCAAGGACTTCAGGGCGTGGTCAGTGCATGCCTTCAAGAGACATGGGCGTACTGACGAGGTCCGATCGCTCGTAGAAGGCCTCCAGTGTCCACAATGTTTGCGACACTTTGCCACACATGTGCGGCTGTGCCGACACTTGCGACACTCCGCCACTTGCCGGCGCCCCCTGCTCAGCAACAGCCACCGCAATGCGCCGGTTCCCGGCATTGGCAGCCGAAAAGCCCCTAAGGAGCATCTCTTCTGTGCCCCCACTCTCCAAGCAGCAGGACCCAAGACTTTCGTCATTGGAGATCCTGTTGAAGATGAAGTTGATCGGCCAGCGGCCGAGGTCCTTGATTGTCTTGACCTCTTGGACTTTGATGGTCTTGGAACACATTTCGATCCTGATACAATTTGGAATCGCATTCGACAGGCCTTCTCATGTGTTTGCCTGCCAGTGAGGCGCCTCCAAGTCACTGCACAAGTTTGGATGGAGCGTTTACAACGGGATGAGGGACTAGGAGACGACAATCTGCGACTCAAGGCGTTTCTTGAGAAGGCCGCCAATTGGGTGGTGCACGCCGATTTTGCCGAGTGGCTCGTTCCGGCACCAGACGAGCGTCGGGATCCTGTCCCGTCCTTTCGTCACTGTAGTGCATCATTGTGCGTACTTGACTTATCGGATCTTGTCGTACCTGCCCCAAAATCGTGGTCGCGGGACCATGTATTGGTCTGTGTCGGCTCTTGGCCTCCCCCCCGGCTGCACGGCAGTGCTACGCTTGATCCCCTTGTCTACCCACATGTGGATTCCCTTGACCTAATTGCGGATGGCAAGGAGTTGGAGTTCTTTACGGCCGAGGTGCAAGAATGTGGATTCTTCTTGAGCACTTGTGGCCTGCCCGTCCCCTTTGTCGATCCTTTTGACAGGAACCCTCATTTTGAGGCTACATTACCGGCCCTCAGACTGTCCTGTGACATAGTGCGATATGCCCTCAGGCTTTGGACTTCTGGCGTACGTGCTTGTCTCGAAACACCATGGCCCTGTGGTGAGGACACTTCCATCCTCTGTAAGATCGAGGGACTCCGGTTTTCTAAAGGCGATGATCGCGCCATCTTCTGGAATGGCACGCCGACCTCGCCTCTTTTGCTGTTTCACCGCCCTTAATTATCCTGCAAGTCACAAGGGCTGCGTCTAACTCGACACTGTGCCCGAAAGAGTGAAAGAGTGATGTGTGTGGGTGTGTATACATATAAAAAGCCTTTGGGATGAGAGTCCTTTCACCAGCAGTGAGAATCATAACGGGTGCGCATAGACAATGAAGCATGTACCCTTCTGTATCTGGGCTTCAGTTTTGCAACCTTAAAGGTCGAGACAGGTGATCTGCAAAGGACACGTGGTTTAGGGTTGAGGGTTTAGGGTCTTTGCTGCTGACATGGGGCCGAGGACCCCTTTGTCGCCGAAACCCCATAAACCCTAACTCAAGGTACTACTACGGGGCCGATGAGCCGCAGAAGCAAGGAGACATTGGACGAGGATCCATAATACAGAGGGTATCGCAATTATAAGTAAGAATATATGCTTATAGTCTCTCGGATGTTTTAGCAATGATATCCCACTAGTTTCGTACATGATCAACATATGGGTCGTTCTCCAAAAGTAGGGTCCCTTTGTGGGTCCCTAATATAATACGGCACCTAATATTTAGGGTGCCCGAAAAGGGACCATAGTTTTGACAACCACCCATATGTTAATTAAAGTATACGGTAACCACCAAACCACATTCTAATTATTAAGGCCCCTGTACCTGTCGCTCATATAGCACAGAACATCGCAAGGAGCTTCTGTGTGTGGTAGCATGATTCGACCCATATTGCTTCAATGCAGTTCGATGTGCGAGCGTGTGTGTGAGAGAGAGAGAGAGAGAGAGAGAGAGAGTGTGTGTGTGTGTGCGTGTGTGGTTGTGTTTGTGTTTGTGTTTGTGTGTGGTTGTGTTTGTGTGTGTGTGTGTCTCTGTCTGTCTGCGTCCGTGTCTGACTCAAAGCCCTATCCCTGAATCCGACCCTTAAAGCAACTCGCATCTCGTTTTATCTGCACCAGCTTGTGGGCCCCCCGCCCCTCCCCCCCAAGTTTGGATATCTCTTTAGTCTTTGATGTTTTTAAGCTTCCCAAGAGCTCTAAACTCTTCCACCAGCCCTGTGCCGAGCTTCCAGGCTGACTAGGTGACTAGCTTTGGTGGGTCAGAGGCTTCGAGTTAGACTGCGACGGCTAAGGAGTTCTATCTGTCATGTGCCGCAGCAGATGGGACAGAATTGTGTTTGAGTTCCTTGCTAAGGAGCTGTTTGCAAAGCATCAAGACGTGGTCAAGCGGCTGACCGATCGCACCTCTGCATTGCTGCGCACTCTGTTGGATGGTCTCGTGTGGAGATCCCAGCGTACAGAAGCCAACGGCACGTTACGGCGGGTAAACTACTTCGTGAAGCTACTTGGCGGTTTAGTACATTTGCGGGTGGCGGTGAGAGAAGCAGCAGGCGTGTCAGCAGCTGCAACCGTTAGTTACTATTCGGAGCGGACGCTTCGGTTGTAAGGTTCGGGTTCACGAGTTGATGGCTTGGAGTTCGTTTTGCTTGAGCCTTGGAACCGGAACTTCCACAGGTATGTGCTCGAAGATGCGAAGGGCAAGTTCTCTCCATCTCTGTTGCTGGGCTGTGGTTTCGGTCGCACTTGCCATTCTCAGTTCTCACTTAGAAGCAGCTGAAGGGGAACCCGTAAAATCGGCACATCAAAGATAACTAAGATACCCTAAACCCGAAGCCTCATACCCTGAACCCTAAACCCCGAAGCCTCAAAATCCCAAGACCGTAGCCTCCTGAAGAGGCAGGAGGCAAAAGGCGGCCCAAGGCCCCAAACACGCCAATGCCCTGGAGCCTACAAGCCCTAGACGTAACAGCAGCAGCAGCAGCAGCAATAGTAGTAGTAGTCGTAGTAGTAGTAGTAGCAGTAGCAGTAGCAGTAGCAGTAGCAGTAGCAGTAGCAGTAGCAGTAGCAGTAGCAGTAGCAGTAGCAGTAGCAGTAGTAGCAGAAGTCTTACTACTACTGCTGCTGCTGCTGCTGCTGCTACTACTACTACTACTACTACTACCACTACAGCAGAGGTAGATACACTCCAAACTCCAGGGCCTCGAAGGCCAAAGCTCCCCAGCCTTCCGTGAACAGTCCCCTGCACCCATAAACCCGCAACATCCGTTTGGGATTTAGGGCTTTTAGGGTTAAGATTTTTGCCTTAAATTTTAGGGTTTAGGATTAGGGCTTAGGGGTTTAAGACTTCTGGTTTAGGGTTTAGGGTTTAGGTTTCGGGATTTCCGGAAGACACTGTCAGGAAAAACATCTCCGCGTCTGGAGATCCCAGTATCGTCTCCCATCCCCTCGTCAGCGTCGTCGTCGAACTTCTCTGGGCAGGCCAGAGATCCTTTTTTTTTCGGGCTCCTAATCGATTTGTGATGGAGTTGCTGTACAAGGTGTCGTGGGTTGGGCGAGAGTTCAGAAGGTACTTGGCTTGGGTTGGGAATCGGGCTAGTGGAGCAGTTGCTGCGAGGTTTTGATCTTGTAGTATTGGGCGATGAGAACGGATCGGCAGGACAAGCTTCAGTATTCAGTCGTGTTCTGCTAGATTAGGCTGGGATTGTGGCTTTAGGCTTCATGCGGAGTGTTGCAGAAGCTGAAACCCACGTCGCCCTCCTTGGTCCCTGTGAACCAGACCGAAGGGCTTTCTATTTCTCCGGCAAGAGGCACCTCTCTAAACCCCAACCCCCAAACCTCTCAATCCTAAACCCTAAACCCCTAAACCCTATAAGCTCTAAACCCTAAACCCAAATAAAGGTTTTTTGAGGCTTTCTCGTAGAAGTCTCATGAGACGCCTCGGCCGGAGGTGTGGTGCGCCGTCAGTTCATGGTGTCCCGTATATGGAACATCCTGAACCTCATTATCTTCGTGATGGGACAGGAGACTGGCTTCTGGAGTCCGTCACACTTTTCTAACTTTTCTGTCTGCTTCTGACTAGTTCCTTTTAGGGACCATTCCAGTAACGAGCGCCATAAACCCGACAGCTCCCAACCCAAGGACCGAAGGGCATCAGGCCCCAGGCCCTAAACCCCCAAACTGCCAGTAATCTAGGGGTTTAGGGTGTAGGGGCCTGCATGATTAAGAATGTTTTTTTTCGCGTCACTGTTGCGGTTGCTGTAATTCTTCAGCAAACTTCCACAACCCAGTCCAACCCTAAGCCCTAAGCACCTACATTACCCCCTACCCTAGACCCCCGACCCCCCCCATCTCTGCCTGGTTGCGCGCCGCGCAGTGAATCCCTAACCCTAAGGGTCCATGTGCTCAATATAGTATATACATTGGCCTTAACGTGGTCCCTATACAGATACATTGGGGCCAAAGTATATAGTATTTGGGTACATGGACCCTTGGGGTAAGAGAACCCAGGAGATCACCCCGTCGATGATCCGAAACAACGGCCCCTCAAACGAGCTCTACAGCCTGCTGTTGCTCGAACCAGAACGAAAGAAAGGTCCATGTAGCAATTAAGCGACTGAGTAAGTGTCACTAGCATTCCGGAAAATTCCTAGTTCTAGTCTGATCTACCCCAAAACCCTGTTCTACTTTTGTCAGGCCCCTTTCTGACCCATTTAGGGTTTAAGCCTTTCAAGGGGTTCCTATCAAAGAGTGGCTATACAGAGTAGCCTTCCGGCCTATGTAGATACCATATAGGTGTGTGGAACCTTAGGGAGGGTAGTTTGTTTTTGTGGGTTGGAGGGGGGGGGGGGCTTCAAGGCTTGTAGGGCGTATTGGTTTGGAGCTTTGGGATTGGCGGGAGGGCGGGAGGGGGGGGGGGGAATTTCGCTTACAGAATCGGGAGGGTGAAGGTTTTGGTGGTACTATGTGGTACTACTAACAGCGGGTGGTGCAACATGTAGCCTAGTAGGTACTTCGGGAAACTATATTCACTGGGTTGTGCTCTTCTTTTTAGAACCCAAGCTGGCTCAGGTTCTTCTTTCGAATGTTCAGCTACATCGTCGGAATGGGTAGGCTGCTGATGCTGCAGCTCCACCGCGTTTGGATCTGGTCCCGAGACACCATGCGCCGCATCATTGCAGACATCGACACGGATGGCAACGGAGAGATCGACTACGAGGACATTCCGGAAGCTTCAATCCTATACAACCTCTCAGCCCCCCGCCACCCACAGGCCCCTAAGTAGTTCCTTTTTGGGTTACCTTATAGGATTATAAATATAAACCATAAAAAGGAACTACTTATGAGCCTGAGGGCAGACCCAAACCATGACAGTGCTAGCCAAAGCTCCAGAGTTTCTCACACCCATCAGCCCTGCATAGGTTGGCCCATCCGTTGAAGCCTCTAAGAGCCTGACAGGGAGGGCAAAGGGGGCTTAACTCTACAGTTCTTGACCTAATGAGGTTTCCGGAGCACGGAAGGGTTTTCATTCTGCATACAGAGATCCTGCCATTCCGGCATTCAGCCCGTATTAGTCTTGGTACTGAGGGTTTAAGGTTTTTAGGGTTTGGGGTATGGGCATAGGGCTTGATAGCCTCCCTTCATCTCATTTGAAGGCTTAGGGGCTCCTGTCAGGGTGCTCGAAGGGTACTGTCAGGATTTGTTTGAAGGGTTCTTTTGGGCATACGGGTTTCGGGGTTTCGGGTGTACGGTTCACAAAGCGCTATTATAAAAAAGAGGTTCTTCAATTTCAAAAGGTTCCTTGCAGGGTTACTATAACCTGCTGTAAGGGTTCTGTACGTTTTAATAAAGCATTTAGGCTTTCGGGTGTGCGGGTTCTCCAAGGGTTTCCAGAAAAAATCTAAGCTATGGGTGCTAGAATTAGAAGGTTTTCTCTAATAAGACTCTAATAAGGGCTCTGCCAGATTCCTTTGGCTGAGGGGATTACGGCGTCGGGGTTGGGTGTTTCAGGTTTAAGGTTCCCGAGGGTTGCGGGAACATCAGCACCAGCACCAGCTCATCGCAGCAGTACAACTGTCACGAGGACTCCTAAACTCTAGACCCGACTCAACACCCTAAACCCTTACTACGCCTTCAACCCTACACCCCAAGCTCAAAGCCCTAAACCCCAATCTCAAGACCCTAGACCTAAACCCTAGACCCCAAAACCCTAAACCCTAAACCCCAAAACCTTGCAAGGAGATGAAGGAGGCGTTGTCGCGCTTCAAAGACACTGTGAAAGGGGAGATCCGCTTCTTGGCAATGGCGTTGGACTTTGGATGGAGGTTGGTTTAGGGTTTAGGGTTTTTGTTTTAAGGTTTTAGGGTTTAGGTTGTTTTTTTAGGTTTTAGGGCTTCGGGTTTAAGGTTTAGAGTTTAGGTTGTTGGTTTGGAGGCCTCTGAGTCCACACGAGAGAGAGAGAGAGAGAGAGAATAAGGGTTTTTAGGGTTTAGGGCTTAAGGTGTAGGGCCTAGGGTTGCGACCTTCGGGTAGACTTATGGGTTCAAGCTGTTCATGGGGTATATGGCTTGGTGTGACTTTTGTGTGTGTGTGTGTTTTGTGGACGTGTTGGGCTCATGGGGTGTAGGGTTCCGAGAAAATCTTGATCTTACCGTCCTATATGTGTTAGGGAAGGAATGACGATGTGGGGTTTGGTTTCACATGCAGCCTGTTTATACGTGTTTGGTGAGTGAGTTAAGGATGACCTTTGATATCCTGCAGCCCGGAGCCTTGGGGCCTGCAATCCAAACGGTCAACCCTGTAGCAGACAAAATCTCCAGACCGTGAAACCCCTAGCTAGGTGGGAGGCAACAGTTGCAAACCCTAAACTCTGAACCCTAAACCCTAAACCCCTCTAAAACCCTAAACCCTGAACCCTGAAGCCCGATCCCCAGGAAAGGCTCTGAAAGTGCTGCGCAACGACGAGGACCTCGAGGAAATGAACTCAGACAAGAAAGACCTGGCGAACCAGGAGACCGTCTGTCGTTTCGGCCCGGGGAGCCCAATACCCCTGAATTAAGGAATATAGACCTTACCTAGACCCTTAAATGTAGTACCTTTTTTTTGGTTCCCTTAGTTTCCTATTATAGGATCCTAACCATAAAATAGGTCACCCAATAAAAGGTACTACATTTAAGGGTCTAGGCAAACCATAATAGTATAAGGCCCTTATACTTTTTAGGGTATATTCCTTTTCTTTTGGTGGTATTGGGCTCTCTGGGGCTTCAGGGTTTCATTTGGGTTTACCTGGGACTCTAATTACCTAGGGTGTTTATGGGTTCAACTTACTTATTAAGGAGTAATGCTTGCTAAGCTGTAGTTAACGAGAGCTACAGGTAGGGCTTAGGGCCTTTAGGGTTTCAGGGGTTAAGTTTAGGGCTTAGGGGCGTTATGAGGGTTTGCGGCTTAGGGCCTTTAGGGTTCAGGGTTTAAGTAGGATTTAGGGCCAAATGTAGGGTTTAAGTTTAGGGCTTAGGGTTGCAAAATGTGGTGCTTAGCTGGTAAAATATCGACTCGGAGCCCCAAACCTAAGCCCCCAAGCTAACCTTGCAACCTAAGGTTTTGAAGGGTTTAGGGGTTTAGGGTTTAGGTTGTGAAAGGCCTGAACCGCATGAGTATCAACTTCGATGAGTCTTGTTTTTTCTCCGGAGCTTGCGTTTGCTTGCATGATCTGTCAGCGTTGTTCATTCTCTCGACGTATTATAGGACCGATTAGAACTACTGGTACAAACTAACACTAACCCTCAGTGCTCCGTAACTTACATGATCGCACAGTATACCTCAAAGCATTGTTCTAGCTGATAGGGCCTGTGGCCATCGAACATTTGAGGTTTCGGGTTTAGGGCGAGGGTTTGTAGGCGTTGGGGTCGAGTGTTTGGGTTTGGGGGTTTAGGACCAATTACAACCACAGGACTGCCAGCTGTCACCCACGTTTGCTCGCTTACTGCCCATAACCATAGTCTACGATGGTATATTGTAGTATGAAATAGTATATCATGGTCCATGGTATACAGTATGTTGTAGTCTGCGTTGTTAGCCAGCTTAGTGCAGGAATCTGCCTGCTTCACGTCTTGAGCTCATGCGGCAAAACACATGGGACCAGCCAATGGCTACGGCGCCGATAACTCTTCAGAGGCTATACTATCTGCTGATGAGAAGCATCATGGTTGGCTCCTCTTTACAACGCAATCGTCAGCAGTACGAACACCTAGCACGACCTACCATCCTAAAACCCGAAACCTTGCACCTTACTTTGTACAGTAGGAGAAATAGCTACGACGCAGCCGTCGTACTCAAGGCTAGATCTCGGTGGCAGTAGGTCATCCCCTTCGCTCCTCGCCATCGTTATGTTGCCTCATGCAAGCGAGGGAGATCCGACTGCCGAAGCCAGGGTGCCTGGAAGAAGTGCGACAGATCCAAGTGTTTCGCGCTCCGGCATGGCAGAAGCTAAGAGCAGTCGTGCTCATGCTGCACCGCGCTCCTCGACCACAGGAACCGAACGACCATGCTTCACGGGCAAGCTGGATATCTTCGTGGCTGGTGGTTATGACTACGAGCGCTTTATCTTTCACCAACATGCTCTACGATTGGGGGTTGACGATGCTCTGGAGTGTTGCACTCAGGCGGAGTTCCGGGCAGCACTGTTCAAATCGCAGAGGTGCAATAAAGAACTTCCCTTAGTTGTCTTCCTTGGCAGCGAGACCTGGGTTGAGGACCTGAAAAAGTATGACCTCAGCCAAAGGCCACCCTTTGTTGTGAACATAGATGCACGTGCGGTGAAAAATCCAGACGCATACAACGAGCACCTTCTCTCGTCATGCACGAGGGATGAGGTCGCAGCTTTGCTAAGCAGAGTTGTCGACTGCCGCAACCAATCCGACAACCAAAGTGCCGGTGCCAGCGCATCTTGAAGCAGTCGTGCTTCTGGAGGTCTGGCGCTTCTCATGCTAGTATGCGAGCACGAGATACCCATACAAACGAATTCGCCGCTCCTGTTCTTGCTGCTGAAGTGATCAACTTCAACTTGGCAGATTTTCGATGTTTTCAGACTGTCTGACGGAGCTCCCGTGTGGTCATTGCAGCATCTGAAGGTTAGTTAGTAAGGTAAGTTGCCTTTTTCATTGTAGCCACAGTCTGTAGCCGACGTTGGATAAGGTGTGCTCCCACTGCTGCATCTGCTTATCCGAAGGAGAATTTTCTTTTCGGCCCAAGAACACCGGCCCAGGGGTCCCAAAGGGTCCCTTGTAGGTACTGTTACCGGGGGGTATTTTTGCCTTAATGCCACATTATGAGAGTGTTTCCTAGTTGGCTACAGTACATCGTACTATATAGGTGCACAGGACTCAGGACCGTTTGGGGATCTCGCTTCTAAGGACAGGGTGTCACCGAGCCTGAGGGGGGGCGACTCTTTGGTTGCTGCGTGGCGTCTAAGCATGTCTAGACATGTAAAGCACAGCCCATCGCGACGCCGTCTTCCTCAGGTGAGATATACAACTGTAACACCCCCGCCCCCCCGAAAAAGAAGCCAGCACGAGTTCGTTTCCACGCGTCAGGATTTGCCGGCACCTAGGGCTTTATATTGGTTGTTGACCATCGTCGCTATGGCGGTAGTCTATAAAGTGTCCGGGAGACTCGACGCAGTTTTGCACAACCATCTTTATGAGGTAATCCAGCTGAATCCAGTGCGATGTCGACCTAGGGCGAGACTGGCTGCAGCAGCGAGTGAAAAAGTAAAATCCATTTTCAGTCCTGGGTTGCATTTGTTTTGTTTATTCCTCCGGTTGTTTGTCGAGTAGAGTGAGGACCCTGAAATTCGGTTGTAGGTTCTTGAGCACGGCCTACTCCAAGTGGAAGTTGTGTTGAGACTAATGAGTATTTAAGTGCAATATGGTAACTGATAGTCTTGGCAATCGTAATGTAGTAATTGTACTAGAATAATGATAGTTGTTATTCCGAGAATAACCCGCGGCCCTAAACACACCAAACATTCACCAAACGTCAGCTCAGTTCCGTCCCGTCACTAGAAATCCCTGAAGACAAAGCTCCCTGCCACGACCGCCCAAACTACCCGGAATCGAGCTCTTTTCTGGGCTGTTAAGCACTATGTCTTAAGTTCCCATAGTAGGGACCCATAGTAGATAACATGGTTTCCTGATGTATGAAGCTTGAAAGAACCCAACTTTTTCCCCAATCGTGAGCATTCATAATCTCTAACAGCAATTGCAGGGTAAAGTAGGGGGGTCTTGGGAGGGGCCCTGAACTCGAAAGCCTGAATCCTGAACAGGAGAAGAACACGTACAACCGAATCAGCTTCACTGCTCTTCGGCTCTGATCTTGGGATGGGGTTTAGGGGAAGGTTTAGGGTGTAGGGTTTAGGGTTTAGGGTTTGGGGGCCTGTTGCAAAAAGGGGAAGGTTTAGGGTAGGGCGACCTACTCTTCGCGAGGTTTGAGCGACCTCAGAGGCACAAGGCAGTAATCTCGGGAGCCATGTATGGTCATCATCCTGAAGATCTCAGACACTGAAATGAATAATGTTATGGTGCACTATAGACATACCTCGCGATCCCATTCTCATAGCTAAGGCCCCTATGTTACACCTCACATTCTTGTGCGGAAGGTTTGTCAGGGTGTTGTGTTTGTTGCTCTGTCAAAGGTGATGCTGATGCTGGTGCTTATGATGTTCCTGGAGCCAATGCTACTTTGCGCGAACGAGCCGAACTGGCCGACGGACGACTGCTCGCACGTTACTCCACTCAGCAGCTTCTCTTCATCGGCCTTTAGTAGGGTCTAAACGTCCCAGCACAGTTTCTTTATCAGGATTTCCTCCGCTTGAGCAAGTGAGAGTTGCATGAGCCCGAACAAATCAGTAGCCACTTCAGTTGAGGGTTCTGGAGTTTGGCAGCAGATTGAGGGGCTTGAGCTGGATTTGAGTTCAGCCTTCTAGGCTTGTGGGTTTAAACATCCGCAAAGATGCAAGAGACAATCTCGAGACTGCAAGCCGGTGCCTCAGTCAGCAGGATAGAGGGGTGGGTTGAGGGTTTAGGAAGTTTGGGGTTGAGGGGCCAGACTTGAGCCGAGTGGAAGAAGGGGAACCACAGAGTGCGGCTCAGCGGTTCCCCAGCAGAAGAACTGGTGATCTTCCTGAGAATCTTGTAGTCATAGTAATTACGGGTTGAGGGTTTAGGGTTTCTTGTAGATCATAGTAGTTAAGGGGTTAGGGTTTAGGGTTTCTTGTAGATCATAGTAGTTAAGGGTTTAGGGTTTAGGATTTAGGGGCAGTAGAGCCGGCAACCTTTAGCCCTTTCGCGGTACTAAACTCCTGATAGCACCCCAGAGCTTAACCTCTAGCTCCCCTAGACTCAGACTAGTGGACAAGCCACTCTACATCCTCAACTTACCCTGCAATGCGGGCTCGTCCTTGCCATGTAGGAAGGAAAAACATCCTCAACCGCGCCTGACTGGTGCGAACGTGCGAGTCGAAAGCTTAATCATCCACATGTCGGCCGCCAAGGTAGATATTGGTATTCTGTTTTTGGGATGATGCCGAGCTGCACGAAGCCTGCGTGCTCTTGCCAGCGTAAGGTATAACATGGTCTAACATGCTGCAGTATACTCTGGCATGGTACAATATGTACTATAGTCGAATACTCTGTTTGTTCAACTAGAACAGACAGCTACGTATGACACAATGGTTGGTTCCTCCATGTGGTTGCAGATGACTGCGCTGATAGCAATGACGGCGTTGCGAAAGGACAACAGAGAGATGTTGTCCTGCAGCTATAGCAACAGTTGGAAAACTTGGGTCCTGTGGTATACTGAGGGACCTCGAGGAATTCAGCCCGTGGCCCCCGATGACACATCTTTGCTGCGTGATCAAAAGCTTAAAGCACAGATCTGCACCCTTCCTTCCACCCTCAGAAACTTCAACTTCACCACCCCTCGCAATAGATTTGGCTGCCGATCTTCGACGTCTGCTTGTTTCGCTGTCCGTACTTGGGGATGTACTTGGTGTGACATTCTTTCTCGATTTCTCTTGCGATGTGCGACGTCATTCTGGCAAGCCCGTGCGACATGGCCCTGGTGACACATGAGCCGGGACTATCTCAAAAGCCAGTGCAAATGAACCCAAAACACTAGACTTCCCGACTTCCTCTTTCATGCGTGCTGCTGTGCGTGGGCCTCCCCCATTTTGACAGGTTCATGATTCAAGGTCCCTGCCACAGTCAGTCCAAGGGTTCAGAGGTCCCGGAGTCAAGAGGATCTGGACACATTTCCGGTTACCTTCTGCTTTCGCATACACTGAGGCTTTATTCTTGCTGCATGTGGGCAGATGAAGCGCGTGTAGTTCACTGGTCAAAGGCCAAAAACTGCCCCACGAGGATTGGAAAGTAGATGGTTGGTGCCGAGCCGTGAAGCCTTGTAGCACAGCGCAAGACCAAAAAGACTTTCTTCTTTCAGGTCCTTGTTTCTCCGCGCACGCCCTCACCCGAAGTTTCGCAGTTTGTTGCTGCTGACTCAAAAGGTTCGTGATAGTCTAGACGTGGTGTCAAAGAGTGCAACAAGGTTCTCATTACGTTGCATGATGCGTAGACCCTAAACCCTAAACGTCGGTGTTCGGCTTTCGATTGCAGCAAAGGGGGGTCCGAATCGCCAGTGGTGCCACCAAGGATCGCCATGATCGTTCACTGGCTTCTGCTGCGTCTTGCTTAAACCGGGGCGTAGGGTTTAGGGTTTAGGGTTTTTTGTTGTGAATCGACAGCTGGCGAGCTTCCTTAAGCCGATGCACTAAAGCCTAAAACTCGTGCCAATACCTTGCCCCACCCTACGATGAATTCCATGGCTGGTCCAGAGATACACTACCCAGGGTTCCCCAGTAGTACCCTTTTGCCCCTTTTCTTGTTGTGGGCTTCCTTATTCAAGCCGAATAGTAGGAGAAAAAGGGTATCCGCATGAAGCCTTACTAAGATACTGAACACCAAAATCCTCAACCCCAGCGCTCCCCCCCCTCAGAAAAATAAACTGAGCCCTGAGCGTTTATACAGGGATTCGGATCTAGGAGTCCGGGTTTAGGGTTTATGGGTCTCTAGGCTAAGGGTTCGCCAGCGTAGCTGGCGCCCTAGCTATACCTTCTATTCAGCCTGTGTTAAGGGGGGGGTGATTCCCAGCCGTTTTGCTTGGCTTCACCGCGTGCCCTTTTGTCCTCTTGGAGCCGGAAAGGGACGTGTGTTGACGTCTTGCTACCAGAGAAATCGAATTTCACTGGCGTGCTTAGGCGCAGCCTCTAAAGTCTAGGGTTTAGGGTTTAGGGTTCGGGGCCCTGGGACTCCACATTTCCCAGTCTTACGAAGCTTGACCTTCTTCGATGGCTTGGAGTTTCCGGACATAGTGGCTGAGAGTTTCAGGATTTACTGTAGGTTGAGGGTTTCAGGGTTGAGGGCTCTTAGTATGTAGGGCGAGGGTTCGGGACGTAGTTTCGGCTTGGGCCGCATTGCTGAAGGCTGTGAGATCCTTTTTTCGGAACTCCCTGAACGGCTTACGGGTTTAGGCAGTTTTGGGGTTTTTAGGCTTGAAATACCATGGGATATAGGGAGCAGGGAGCCCTCTTAGCCTCCTATAAAGAACCTAAAGATTCTAAGATGTCCTAGAACACTCGTCTACACCCAAAAGGAAGCCTAAGCCCCAAGAAGCCCTCAACCCAGTAGTACCCAGGATCGACATGACGATCTTTTCCACGCAGCTTTCGGCATTCTTGCTGGTTGTAGGCCACGTGCTGGGCGAGGTGAAGCAGTGACTTGGCTTGAGAGCTCGCGGCTGTAGAGGAGCTTAGGGGGTTTAAGGGCCTCCACAAAAGTTTAAAAGGGGCTTCGGACGTAGACAGGTGTTGGGAAGTTTGGGCGCCGGGAGTCCCCAA